GATTGAATGCAGAATCATACATGAGAATCCAGTTGCCTTCTACTAAGCCAGACATTATAGAGATTTGCAAAAATGCAAAGTAATGCCACTTTTTCCTCATTAGAGCTTTCTGTGGGGGAAAATACGGTTCTTTTTTTAATTTAGAAAAAATAGAGTAATATGTTTATTGTTATTTTAAAACAAATAGAGTATTGAAAACATTCTCCATTTTAATTTCTAATAGAGTAAATATTGGTAGAAATAACTTACATAGACAAGTTCCTTAGAGTCCTCAGTAATTTTCAAGAGTATAAAGAGATTCTGAGACCAAAAATTTTTAAAACTATTGGAGTAAAGCATCCCTGAACTATTGAATTATTGCCACTCTCTTTTCCCACTACCAGCCAGCCCACATCTGAAACTCCTTAGCCAAAAATACTTGAGTGCAAGGGAGTTGAACATTACTTGTAAAGACAATGTTTCCTTTTTAGTATATTTAAAAATTCGAAGTAGATCCTTGGGGCTTCAAGTTGGGACTTCAGCATATTGATGTTCTTTATATGTAAAATATGATCGGGACATTTATTCCAGAACATTCTCCTCCCTGCATTTCTTTTCCCTTTCCTTTCGAAAGTTCCATTTTTAATAGCTGAATTAACTGGTCAGCAGAGACACTCCAGACACTGAACAGAATGGCAACCAGTAAATGCTGCTGACATTTTTTCCCAAAGATTTTTGGCAGATTTTGAGCTATCTGTCTATAAACAGCAGATTAGTTTGGAAGACTGAATTTATACCTCCTTTTTTCCCCTGTTTTCCGTTTAGGAGCCTAAATTATTGTTTTAATTTTGCTTGCACAATAATAATCAGTTAAAAGGTGTTTAAGGGCATGGGCTTTTGTTGGCTTTGTGACAAGGAAAAATTGTCAGTGGTGATGGTGTTTTAGAATTCTTTTTTAAAATAGTGAAAGAATTCTTGATTTCGAAGCTTGAAACTTGTTAACTGCTAACTTTTATTATTACCTGAACTAAATTCTAGAGATTAGAGTTAACAGAGATGATAAATGTCTTAATCCTGCTATTCCTTCGCAGGTGTGTATGTGCTTTTGTGTTAACGGGTGGTCGGGGGGGGGGTAATTTCTAATTCTTTGGAAATTAAAATTAAATTGAGCCGATTAGTTCAGGGAGAATTTGAATTCAATGAGTATTAAATGTGCACCTACTTGGCTCTAGTAGCGATGAACAAAACAGACTATAGATTTTACTACCATGAAGTTTACAGTCCAGTGAGGGAGACAGATGTTCAAAAGCACACACTCAAATATGAATATGTAATTATTAATTATGATAAGTGCTATAAATAAAAATTAACACAGTGGTATATGAGAGTGTAATGAGAGCATATGAGGGTTTAGGCAAGCTTCTAGAAGGAAGTGACATTTAAGTTGAGGCTTGAAGGTTGAATAGGAATTTGCCAGGTTGGGTCCTGAAAGAAGGGCTCAATCACTGGGAGCTTCATATATACAGAGGTCCAGAGATAGGCAGGGAGATGGCTAGTTGGTGTGCCTGGGAGAATGGGGTGGAGAGGCGCCTTGACAACAACGAATGTAGGGAGCTTACTAGGGCTTACCATGTTTTACCCAGGTTCTGGCTAGGGGCTACCTCTCCAGCCTTCTTGGGTTTTCTCTCCTTATCACTCTTCTCTCTAGGCTCCCTATGTCCTAGGCTGGTGTTTTTTTTTTCACATGTGATATATGTTTTAAGTCCTCAGGAAACACCAAGCTTCCCCTGGCCACAGGACCCGTGTAGAAGCCGAGAAGCTGTGCCTTTTTCCTTAAATGCCCTCCTGTCTCCACCACAGAGTGCTCCCCACCCCACCCCAACACACACACACACACACACACACACACACACAAGAGCTCACATACTCTTATCCTTTTTGTAGTACCTTCTACTCACCTTTCTGGTTCCTGTTTATATATAATCTACCCTGTTTATATATAATCTCCTCCACCCGCCAAAAAATCTTAAATTGTTTTGTTAGCAGTCTTATTTAACCATGTTTCTTTCTAACACTTAAATCAGTTTTTAATTGTGCAGTCTTTTGGATGATTATTTGACTACCACCATAGATAGATTGTGTAAGTTCTGTAATAGTAAGGACCATGTTTGTATATCTTTATCATTCTAAGTTTCTAATTTCTAGTACATAGCAGGCTCTCAATAGTTGTTGAGGGAAGGAAGGGAGGGAGGGAGGGAGGAAGGGAGGGAGGGAGGGAGGAAGGGAGGGAGGGAGGGAGGAAGGAAGGAAGGAAGGAAGGAAGGAAGGAAGGAAGGACGGACGGACGGACCGGGAATTCAAAGATAAGACTGAGATATAGTTCAATACTTTTCAAAGGCTTTTAATGATATACCCCATCAGTTAAAAAGTTTTTTGAGGGCTTCCCTGGTGGCGCAGTGGTTGAGAGTCCGCCTTCCGATGCAGGGGACACAGGTTCATGCCCCGGTCCGGGAGGATCCCACATGCCACAGAGCGGCTGGGCCCGTGAGCCATGGCCACTGAGCCTGTGCGTCTGAAGCCTGTGCTCCACAACAGCAGAGGCCACAACAGTGAGAGGCCCGCGTACCGCAAAAAAAAAAAAGTTTTTTGAGTGTGTACCCTCAATATGTAGCTTATAAGTTTTATATAAAGTAAAACTATGTGTTATAAGACATACATAAAATAGAAATTTTAAAAAGATTTAAGATGAAATATTTGAGGTGTGGCTAATGGTAATGACATTGTATTATTGACAAAAATCTCAGGCTACTCAGGATAATGTTTATTGTTTATGATACTGGATGCAAATCAGTTTTTAATGTATTTTTAAATTCTGAATTTGGTGAGCCTGCTTCATGTCACAGTGAACTGGAATGTTAATTGATTTTCTTTAAAATGATTAACAAAGAACCACTAGGAATAGCCATATAAGTTCCACCATTTTCTTAGTCTTCTCTGGTACTTTCATTAACAACATATTCAATCTGTAGTTTCTTTAATGGATTTAGAACACTTGCAATTTGGGGAGGGCTCATTTCATTATATCTAGCCATTACAACCTGTAATTCCACTTCAGTAAACTCTCAAGAGTATAGCACATGGCTGTATTCTATAAGCAAACAATGTCCACTCTTTCACATTGTATAACTCCCACTTCTTCTGGAAGATACCTCTTGTAGTGGACTGTCCTAAGGGACTGAGACAGAGACCAAATAAAGGATCAAGTTATTTATCACTCTGTTAGATTAAATCAGTTTTTATAAGATACAAGTTTTAGTATTTTCATCCCATAATTTAATGCATTGTCTTGTGTGGCCCTTGGATGCATGCACCCCCTTTTGGGGGCAAGTAGGCTAGCTAGTGCTGGAGATTGACATAGACAGATGATTGATTTGGAGTGGTGTTAGACAAATGATTGATTTGGAGTGGTGTTGGGGCTGGGGGGTTGAAATCACTGCTGATGGAGAGGTGTTGCACCAAGCATTTGCCTTTTGAGCTAGATCGTGGATGACAGGAAGAGGGAGTTGGGTAGGAGAGAGGTGGAGGGGGAGGCTCAAGGCATCTGGGGTGGAGGGAACCAACAGTGCGTTTCTGTTCAAAGGCACAGAGATGAGATGGTGATGGAGGGGTCAGTACTGGTTATGAGGGTTCCAGGGTGAAGTGAGGCATTTGTATTTATATCAAACAAGGGCTTGCTCTAGAAAAGATCTATGTGAACATGGAAATAATAGTAATAATAACAACAGCAACAGTAGAAAGGGAGTCACTCAGGTTCCACGTGCTTTTAAAAATGTAAAAGGAAGGTCCATTAAACTCTCCTTTACTCCCTTCCCTCACCTTGCTGTTAGAGAAGGGTTAGTCTGAAATACAGTTGTAGACAAATGGAAGTGAGGGATGGTAAGATAGAATAGAGGTGCGGGGAATGAACAGTCAGACTACTAACCAAAAAACTGATTTTAAGAAGATGAGTCAGAAGGTGTCCATTCCAAACAGCTTAGATAGCAGTGGGCTTTTGCTCTTTTCTTTGAAGCTTTAAGAGTAAGATAGCACATGAACCTATTCACTACAGAACTTCACCAGTTTTCTCTTTATTTTACCATCAGAAAATTGCAGCTAGTTCAAGGTTTAATTTTTTTAAATTATTTTTTGTAATAAAGAATTAGTATAGCCAAACTCTCAACATATTTCCAAAATTTTATAGGAATTATTCAGATGGAAAAGTTCTTTGTTGTAACCCCTTGACTCAGAACATTGAGCTTCTGCCAATGTAGTTTTAGGGCAATATCAACTTAAAATTTATAGCAAGTATCTTATTTTCTCTCTGTTATAGTTTCATATATTAAGATTTTACATGATTTCTTCATGTCTTGATTGTGTCTATGCTCTGTTAAATTTGAGGTTAATGTAAGAATACATTGCTTTGCCATTGATGAGGGATAAGTTACAGTTTTGTGTTTTGTTTTCTTTTTCGGGGCTGTATGATGATGTAGGTTGCTTCACTTCTAATCCTTTTGAACGAAGGCTCAAACATGGTAATTTGGTTTGGATTATTCAGTCATTTAATCTTTAACATCGTGTTAGAACAGTCTATTCGTGCTTCTTAGAGTTTTTAACTTGGTGCCAACCTTGCATTCCATGGCATAAAATGAAATTCAAACCTAAAGTCCTTTAGGAATGCCTGGCCTTACAGCTGAGAATTTTTCATGTCCCTTTTGAGTTCTTTGTTAGTGGGTAGACTCAGGGAACGTTGCCTCAGAGTGGCCACCAGGAGGAGGTAAATCTGATTAACTCTTTAAGATGATTTATTTAGATCCATGTAAAGGGTATATGTTTAAATGTACTAAGAAATAAGGCAACATATGTGAGGGGGATTTGTAAGAAAGGCCTTGAACGGCAGTTCGAAGATGGTATGCTTAATTTAATTTGTCATCCTGCAGTTAAATTTTGTTGTTTCACTGATATCTCTTTTTTTCCCTCCACAGTTGTACAATGGTAGATGGAGTGATGATTCTTCCTGTGCTAATGATGATTGCTTTCCCTTCCCCTAGTATGGAAGGTAAGTGGCTCAACTACTTGGGGCAGGACCAGTATACTGTGTATTGTTTGGCTTACCGTAAACTAGTTTCTTCTTAATCCTATCAGATTTAGCAATCCTCCCCTCCCCCCATTTTTAAGACTTTATTTTTTTAAAGCTGTTTTTTAGGTTCACAGCAAAATTGAGAGGACGATACAGAGATTTCTTATATACCCCCTGCCCCGACACATGTATAGCCTCCCCCATTATCAACATCCCCCCAACCAAAGTGGTACATTTGTTATAATTGATGAACCTACATTGACACGTCATAATCACCCCAGTCCGTAATTTACATTAGGGTTCACTCTTGGTGGTGTACATTCTGTGGGTTATAATGACATGTATAATGACATGTATCCATCATTATAGTATCATACAGAGTATTTCACTGCCCTAAAAATCCTCTGAGCTCCACCTATTCCTCTCTCTCCACCTCTGCAACCCCTGCCAACCACTGATTCTTTTACTGCCTCCATAGTTTTGCCTTTTCCAGAATGTCGTGTAGTTGGATTCATACAGTATATATAGCCTTTTCATATTGGCTTCTTTCACTTAGTATTTTACATTTAAGGTTCCTTCGTGTCTCTTCGTGGCTCAGTAGTTCATTTCTTTTTAGTGCTGAGTAATGTTTCATTGTCTGGATGGACCACAGTTTATCCGTTCACCTACCGAAGGCAATCTTGATTGCTTCCAAGTTTTGCTAATTATGAATAAAGCTGCTATAAACATCCATGTGCAGGTTTTTGTGTAGATATAAGTTTTCAACTCCTTTGGGTAAACACCAAGGATTGTGATTGCTGGATTGTATGGTAGAGTATGTTTAGTTTTGTTAGAAACTGCTAAGCTGTCTTCCAAAGTGGCTGTTCCGTTTTGCATTCCCACCACCAACGTCTGAGAGTTCCTGTTGCTCCACATCCTCACTAGCATGTGGTGTTAGCAGTGTTCTGGATTTTGGCCATTCTTATAGATATGTGGTGGTGTCTCATTGTTTTAATTTGCATTTCCCTGATGATGTATGATGTAGGGCATCTTTTCGTGTGCTTATTTGCCATCTGTATATCTTTACCGAGGTGTCTTTAAGGTCTTTGGCCCATTTTTTACTTGGGCTCTTTGTTTTCTTATTGTTGAGTTTTCAGAGTTCTTGGTATATTTTGGATAACAGTCCTTGATCAGACATGTCTTTTGCATATATTTTCTCCCAGTCTGTGGTTTGTCTTGTCATTCTTTTGACATTATCTTTCACAGAGCAGAAGTTTTAATTTTAATGGAGTCCAGCTTATTAATTATTTTTTTCATGGATCATGCCTCTAAAAAGTTATTGACAAAAAAAAAAAAAGTTATTGTCATACTCAGTGAGGTAATGTAGGTTTTCTCCTATGTTATCTAATAGGAGTTTTATAGTGTTGTGTTGTACATTTAGGTCTGTGATCTGTTAATTGAATAATTTTTATGAAGGGTATAAGGTCTGTGTCTAGACTTCTTTTTGTTTTGCATGTGAACATCCCCTTTTTATACATATTTGATAATGTCCCTTGATTTTCTTGGAGTGCAACCTATATACACCGTACCTTTCTTATAAACATAAATTTAAAAAATTCAATATAATTTGCTATCTGAAATGAAGAGAAAATTCTCTGAAAATAATATGTAATTAAATATGTCATATAATTAAAATAGTACGTATAGACAAATGTAATATAATCTAGTGTAGTTGGGCATGAGTACACTAGAAGATGTAATGAAGTAACAAATGTGTGTATAAAAATATATACCTATACACACACACACACACACACACACACATATAATAATCTTTGATGTCTTAGAAAACAGAAAACATTGGTACTAGTGTGCTGTATCGGTGACTTAATTATCACGAGGGGTCTTACCTGCAGTGCTTGAATTTTCTGACTTGGTGAACACATTTTGGTAGAATCCCAACAAAACAGAGAACTGTTTGTCCCTTGATTTACACAGTGGTTATATTTTGAGAAAATTTCGTATACATTAAGACAGTATAAGACATACTTTGTATTTTTATGTATAAAAGAGTTAGGTATTAGGTTCAATTAATTATACAGCGGTTTTCATGTAAATGAATGCTTAGTGGGTGGGCCAGTGAGAACCTGAAGGGGCACAGGGTAACTCGTAGTTGTGTGGGATCACACAGGCATTTTAGGGCCTAACTCATTGTCACTATCCTCCTTTCTCCCCATCTGCAAAAAGCTACTTAGGGATGGCACTGCCTCTGTGGAGTCCACAGGAGATAATCAAGAGAAAAAGAAAATAAAAGTTGCCTATAATTCCCTGCACTTACATGTGATTGCTTTTAGCATGTTGGTGTAAATCTTTCTAGACGTGTAAACAAACTCTTATTTTATTGCGCATTGAGCAGTTTGCACTTTATTTTGTAAGAGTTTCTCCATGAGGAGTGGTGCTTACGGTGTGAATCTCAGCCTTGCTGTGATCAGATGGGCCAGTAAGACTAATCCCCCTCTTACAGGCTCTTGGGGGTATAGTGATCAGTTTTATACACTTGATAAGTTTCCACGGAGGCATATAATATAGGTTAATGTAGCCAACACTGTGGAAAAATCAGTGCTTGATGTACTAGAAATCTATTTTGTTATATGTTAGGTGTATAATATGTGATCTGTTCCTCCCTCCTTCCCATGTTCATTGACATGTATCATAGTCAGGGAGCCACTAGCCACATATTGAGCACTCAAAGTGCAGCTGATACAAGCCGAGATACGCCTTAAGTGTAAAGTACACACTGGGTTTTGAAGACAATAAAAAATGTGAATTTTATCTGTGCCTTTTTACTACTATGAAAATTTACAATTATATAAAGCAGCTTACATTAAGTTTCTATTAAAAAACGCTATCGTCAACCACTTTAGGTATCCATAGTCCGTATTCTTCTCTAAGCAGTGTTGATTGATACAGTCCAATAATATTGCAATCATTTTAATTAGTGCCAAAAAGATATGAAATAAGGATCCTGCGTGGCAAGTTTAAAAGAGTAGGAGGTGTTTAACCAGAAGAGAGGTTGGGTCCTAGGTTGAAAGAATTACTAAGAAGAAATGGGCTGGGAATATTTGGTGGGTTAATAGTAGTTCTCATCTGAGGGGTTAATTTTATCCCTCAAGGGACACTTGACAACGTCTGGAGACGTAATAGGCAAGTTGCTAGGATTTTTCCTCTTTTTAGTTGCTACATAATATGATCAGTTAAAAAAAAAAAAAAAGAATGTTGTGAAATGAAGTCCCCTCCAAATTCTGTGTGCTCCCCTAGGTACAGTAGCAGTTCTGTGTGGTCAGACAATCCTTCAGGTTTCATGTGCTGTCCTGGTGGACTCTTGGTGTGGGCATGATAGAAAAAAAAAAGAGTGGAAGAGAAATTGAGGTGGAAATGTAATACGGATAGAGAAGGGGAAGTGGGAAAGAATGGGGAAAGAGGAGGTGAAAAGGGCATTTATGGAACAGTGTTAGCAACCCAGCCATTGGTTGTTTTTTCCTGCTTTAAGCTCTTAAGCTGCCCAAAGGATCCAGCAAATGACCTCTTAATGCCAGAGTGAAGATCTGTAATGAAACAAGTTAGTCTGGCTGAAATGGAAATGGATGCCACTAAGGTTTTGCTATTGAATATAACACCAGCACTAGGATGTTTACAGATATGGAAAAGAACACATCATCCTTTCGTTGCGATAGCTTTTTTTTTTTTTTAAAACAATATCCAGTGAGTGCTACAACCTAGACTACTCAGATCTTAATAGCGGTGGCCTTAGTCTTGTCTTCCCTCAATGACTCAACTCCTAGTTAACTATCAATAGCATATTCTATGAAAAGACTCTTTGTTTTTGCATATTTACTAGAAAATTTTTTTTTTAAAAAAACCACTGAGAACTAATTGTAATATACTCAACATTAGTCATAAAGCAAATGTCGAGTACAAAATACTTAACCGAAAGAGGTAAATAACAGGGCAAATAACTAAAAACTTTATATTAGCCTCATAGATTGTCTAGTGCAGGGCTTTAAACTACCAAGTTTTTTGTTTGTTTTTTTGTTTTAATTAATTAATTTATTATTTTGGCTGCGTTGGGTATTCATCGTTGTGCACAGGCTTTCTCTAGTTGCGGCGAGCAGGGGCTACTCTTCCTTGTGGTGTGCAGGCTTCTCATTGTGGTGGCTTCTCTTGTTGCGGAGCACAGGCTCTAGGTACACGGGCTTCAGTAGTTGTGGCACGTGGGCTCTAGAGCTCAGGCTTAGTAGTTGGGGCGCACGGGTTTAGTTGCTGCACGGCATGTGGGATCTTCCTGGACCAGGGCTTGAACCCGTGTCCTCTGCATTGGCAGATGGATTCTTAACCACTGCGCCACCAGGGAAGCCCTAGACTACCAAGTTTAAAAGGAAACAGACCCAGGTTTCATGTTTGCAGAGCAGCTACGGCACCTTATTAATTGGGCTTCAGTGGAGCTAATGGCATTCTTGGTGCATAAATAAGAAAGTAATAGAGATTTTGTTCTAATATATTTTGTTGGGTATTGTACTCCTCTTAGTCTATTAAAAACAAACAAAAAAACAGAAAGCTTCTTTCGTCTCCCCAGTTACTCCCAGATGTCTTTTAAATATTGATTAGATACAGTGTCAACATGTCAAATAAGAAGTCCCAAAGAGTACTTTTGGCAGAGTTTGACTAGTATGTGTGTACTTTAGAACATTTCTCAATTTCTGTGGAATTCTAAATGCTCTGGGGCCAAAAAGACCCAGTAAGTTTGGAAAATACTGCATACTAGAACGATCTCTTTATGATTTATAGGTAATATTTATTGAGTGGTTAATATGTGCCCAATGTTGTTTTATGTTCGTTATTTCCCATAATCCTCATCATTACCCTAATGAGATACATTAGTGGGGATGTGCTTTTGAATTGGTTAAAACTCTTGCTTAAGGTTATACAGCCAACAAAAGGTG